CATGGGTACCCACAAGAGAGATGGCTCTGCATACACAGTGGACACCTGGCAGTGAGACCCGGTGACCACTGTGTATGCAGAGCCATCTCTCTTGTGGGTCCCACTTACAAAGTGGTGACTCCAAGAAAAGGACCCTGTGTAATCTACTTCCTAACACTCAGAGTGGACTTCTCCAGCAGACAGAGTGCCTAAAATCCTGTCATGGTTACCCAGATGTTTGGTTAAACATTATTCTGGGTGTGTCCTGAGGGTGTTTCCAGATAAAATTAACATTTGAATCGGTAGGCCCAGGTAGAGAAGACTGCCCTCCCCAATGTGAGTGGGCCTCACCCAATCTGTTGGAAGCCTAAATAGAATCCAAAAGGCAGAGTAAGGGAGAATTCAAGCTCTTTTTGCCTGACTGTCTTTAAGCGGGGGACACTGTTCTCCCACCTTCAATCTCTGACTCGGACTGGAACTTAAACGTCAGCTCCCCCGGGTCTCAGTCCTTCAGATTCAAACTAGAAATATACCTTCGGCTCTTCTAGGTCTTCAGCTTGCCGACTGCAGATTGTGGGACTTCTTAGCATCCAATACCGCTTGATTCAATTCCTTATAATAAATCTCTTTACATATTTATATATCTATACATGTATATCTATACATCTCCTATTGGTTCTGTTTCTCCAAAGAACCAATTAATACAGGCTCATAATACTTTTAGGGGTCCACGAAAATGTTTTCATTTTAATTTCTTTTAAAATCAGAAGAAGATGAATATGATATGAATATATAAAAACGAGTCAAGGCTGGATTATATTTTTGTCTCTATACCAATATAGTCTTAGAATATAATTTTTAATATATTTTGTAAAAGAATGGGCCCATGAGCGCACAAGTGCCTAAGGCCTATGAAAGTCATAATGTGACCCTGCTAACACTTTGCAGTGCCGCATCTTTGAGGATTGGGAGTGTTTTTTCCTGGGAGCCAATGTCTGCCCATTGGTTCAGTGGGTTGACCAGGATGGTGTTTCTATGGCCTTGCACTGACCTTGAAGAAGAGGTTATTTTTGAAGCTGTCGTCTGGAGTTATATCTATTATTAGAACTGTGTGTGTGTGTCTAGCAGGGGATAGGCCTAACAGCGCAGAAAGCAGAGTAAACCAGAAGCAGGCGCAGGAGAGTAATAGCTTCTCCTTTGAAAAAAGCTGTCTTTCAAGGGGCACCCCTCCCTGCGTTATCACCAGATATTCTGTGTCCTGTCCTGGAGTTTGTCTAATTAGGTGGACCTCTCTCTCTTATAGACTAGGGCTAAGTATTTGGTGAGACTACATGATACGTCAGATACTGTTCAGGGCAAAGATAAACAACCAGATGCTTGCAGCCTTTGTAAGCAAACAGCCTGTAAACAAGGAGTTAGAGCACAGAGTATCCAGTACTATTGGAGGAACCACAAAGGCTCTACAGAGGAGGGCACACTTGATCAGGGCTTGAAAAAATGCGTATGACCACAAATGTAGCCCCAGGGAGAAGGGGAGGAAGCGCATATGTCCGTCCAACCTCCCATAGGGGAAGAATTTGTTAACTATGGTCAGAAATGTGGCAGAACCAACAAAAGTTACATTAAGTGAGATCTGTAAGTTGTGAACCAAAAAGTACAACTCTGTTTGTTTTGGAACGGTATAAAATAATTTTCCCAGCCAAAAAAAAAAAAAGGAAATAAATATAAATTAAGAGCACCTTGTCATAGAAGACCTAACACCACCACGAAGTATTTTGTACTATGAAACCTGTCCTCTCACCTGCAATTTGACAGGAAAAGAAGGGGGAAGGGACATTCCCAGCAGAGGGCAGGGCACAGGCAAGGAGAGGAGAGCCACTGTTCTGGGAACGGCAGGGGGTCCTGTCTGGTCAGAAATGGGAGGACAGGAACTGTGTGGCCCTGATTAAGCCCCTTGCTGTAAAGGAGGAAACGGGTACTAAGAAAAGGAGTGCCCTTGCCTTTTGTGGCCTCTCGATGATGAGCATAATAAAGCATGTCTCCAGAGTTGTGATTTTAGGGCACTAGCTATAAACATCCTAGCTGACTTAAGAACTATATGTGTGACATAGTGTGGAATAATAATTTAAAAAAAAAAAAAAAATTGGTCTTTGCTCTCAGTTCCTGGCGCAGAGCTCCTAAAACCCTTGGAATTTCTTCATAAGTGAGTTCCGTGAGGTGTGAGCCAAAAAGGACAACTCTCTTCTAAAACACTATAAATTCCTCGCACAGGAGGAACATATCAGAGGACGGACACTGTGGTATATCTCACAGATAACCAAGCCCCAGTGTCTTTTGCTATTCACAACGAGCCCTTTTGAACACTCTGGCATTTATACTACTGTGGTCACTCAGGGCGGGACGCATTAGATAGCTTCAGGACAAACACCGATCACCAGAAAGATCAAACATTTCCTAACCTCTGAGGAGGGGATCAGGGTTGGAGACTGAGTTACAAAAATTCTGGAAAAAGGAGATTTGGAGAACTTCTAGGGTGGTGAAAACATCGAAGTGCTAGGTGAGTGACGAAGCTCCCCCACCCCCACCGACCTCCAAAATTTGCCCTATGTATCTCTTCCATTTGGCTGTTCCTGAGCTGTATACTTTATGATTTTAAGTAGAGCACTTTCCTGAATTCTATGAGTCTTCCTAGTGAATTATTAAACTTGGGGGGCGTCGCGGAAACCCCCCCATTTGTAATTGGTCTGATAGAAGTAAGGGTTGTCTGGGGACCCCACTTGGAGCTGACATCTAAAGTGAAGTCAGTCTCATTGGACTGAATCTTCTAATTTCTGGGACCTGACACTACCCCCAGGTACAGCGTTGGAACTGAACTGAATTGAACTGTTGGACACCTAGCTGGTGATAGGAATCTGAGAATAGTCGTGGAAAAACAACACACATTTGGCCTTGGGGGAAAAAAGCACACACTTGGAGTCAGAAAAAAAATGCGTTAAAAATGGTAATTCACAACGAAACATCATCAACCTAGTTTAGGGGAGATAATTTACAAAGCAGCTCATGCACTTCACAGTTTGCTTTTGGGTATTGCAAGGTCCTTTTGGCTTTAAACATGCCTATGAGAGACAGGGCTTCCCAGGACAACTAGACCTCCTGTGCATTTTAATGGCAAGCTGGGGGGCCCAGACAGAAGCACTGGAACACACAAGTTCCCTCAGTCCCTGTCCTCTCTGTCACTAGACGGGTATAAGAGGAGGGTTCCTGGGGCTTCATGGCTTGGAAGCTCCCTGGAGGCATTTCCTTCTAGAAGGATGTGGAAAGAAGAGGCAGGACCCTGGGTTCCATCCTGGTTCACCCACAGGTGCCCTCCGTGTGTTTGGGCAAGTTGCTTCCATCTTGGGCGTCAGTTTTCTCATCTGTAAAATGAGGGGTACTGGATTCGATGACGCTAAGGTCCACCCAACCCTAAGAGTGGGATTCCATGGCTCTGACTCAGGGAGGGTGACCCAGATTGCTGGAGGACACAGTAAAAGAGTAGACATGGGGGGAGGTTGTCACATTGAATAACGTGTTGAGTAAAGGAATTTTTCAGAGAAGCAAAGCACCTCCAAAGTACTCCTGCCTGCCTCTGGGCCAGATGCCCTCCACGAAATCGGAGCAGAGAGAGAGAGACAGGGTGGTGGCCCCAAGTCAGCAGAGGCTGTGCTCCCGTAATTGGAAGGGTTCCCGGTCTAGCAAACCACCCTTTGCTGTCCTGGCTCCTCCCCAGCATGTCCGTTCCCAGGAAGGGGCCACCACCCCACATTTTCCAGGGTCTGCCACTCTGATGAACCATTAAGACAGTGAAGGCTCATTTGATATGCACATGACACAGCAGGGAAGGTGCGCTACTATGCTACATGGTAAAATCAGAATTCAAAAATATGCCTGTTGACTTGAAAGATGGGTTGAAGTTAACGAGATTATATTTAATAGGGAGAAATGAGAATCCTAAACTCAGATCAAAAAGACCAGCTAGACCAGGGGTTGGTGAACTCTGGCCTGTGTGCTAAAAGCCAACCTGCAGTAGCTTTTGTAAAATTAGGGACACGTTTGTTTATATGCTATCTAGGTCTGCTTTCATACTACAAGGGCAGAGTTGAGTAATTGCCCAGGGATTGCATGGTTCACAAAGTCTAAAATATTTGCTATCTGGCTGACCCCTGAACTAGACAAAGAAGTCCAGATGGAGAGATTTGAATTTATGGTAGCTCAAGTGAAAAGGTGTGGTTTCTTTTGAAGCATGTGATTATTTAGTCTGCATTAATAGCATTTTAATGTTAAGACAAGAAATGTAATACATAGATAGGTCTCCTTTAGATGTAAGAATACAAAATTAGCTCAGCACAAGAGGACTATATCAGAAGGACACTGAGGTATCTCAAAGATAATGAAGCCCCAGAGAAGGCAGGTGAGCCTCAGAAACAGTCTAATGAGGAACTGTCTCTCCATCTCTCACCTGTTCTGCCTATAATTGCTTCCTGCAGTATCGACCAGCTTTCTGCACATGGCAAAGATCATGGCTACAGCAAGTTTTCCATCTCTATTCGCTAGTTTTCACCAATCTTTGTTTTTTGTCTTCTTTCTCAGCACATAGAAAGTTGACATCTACATCTCTCAGCCTTCCCTGTAGTTAGTTAAGTGAGGCTATGGATTGAAATCTGACTGGGGAATATGGGCAGAAGCTATTCAGAGCAGGTGGGCCTTCTGTACACCGCCTGCCCCCCACCCCTTCATTACCCTCATCCCTTTCTTCGTAGCTCAAAGTGAAAGACTATTAAGAGCATGGAACCTCAGGATAGAAGGCTCTTGGATCCCTGAATTACCAGTTGGAAGAGAACTTCCCAGAAGAAGTGCCCAACCCCAATCAACTTTGCAAGGGAATACATTTTTATTGGTTTAAGCCCCTAACATTTTAGGGTTGATTTTTTTCAGAAACAGGGTCACTATAGCTACCCATAGCCACTAGCTGCTTTTTCCTCCCATGTGTCCAGGCCACGAACCAGGCATGAGCACAGCCCAAAAGCCAAGCTGAGATGAACAAGGAGTTACTTTGTCCCTGGCTGATATGCGACAAGCACCACCAAACCAGGTGCCACCCAGATCAGGAATACCACCGAGTTTTATATCTCACAGTTTCAGTCACCAAAGAGGCACTCAAGCCCCCGCATCCCAGAAAATGAATTGCCTGGAGCGGGTTAAATGTAGTGTCAGCCTCTCAGCCGATCAACTGTCTTTGAGGACAGAATCATAGGCAAACATGGAGGCCTCTACGAAGACTGCATGGATGGAGTTTTGGGGTGCTGTTTCCAGAAGAAAGCCTGGAGAGTTGGAGCGAGTAGAGAAGAGGTAGGAAGGGTAGACAGTGGAAGGCGTGCCGGCCTACCGAGCACTGGGTGTTTGTTCTGATCATCGTATCGTGAAAGGTATCCTGAGTCAGGGTTCCTGACAAATCTATGAGAACGAACTGGGAAGCGAGGGAGCAGGGCGGTGAGGAAGAAGCCTCGAAGGGCCCCGACCTAAGACGTAGAACTGCAGGAATGGAGGATATTTCATCTAGAAAATAGAAGACTTGGCAGGGACACAGGGACTCTCTTCAAGTTGGTAAAGGACTGTCCCACGAGAGGGGACCCTGTGCTCCTCCATAGGGCCACACTAGGCCCAGAAGTTGGACATGACAGAAAAGTCAGACTGCAGCTAATTTGAGGAAGAACGTCTAAGTGTCCTGGCCAACCGGGAAGGGGTCAGACTCTCTCAGGAGGGGCGAGCTGGACATCACGAGGACGCATCAGGCAGCTCAGTTAGAGCTGCTGAAGATGAGATTCCAGCGTGTTCCTGTCCTAATTGCACATTCCTCTCCAGTACTAAGGTTCTCAGGATTTAAATTGGTCCCAGTGTGACAAAGAGGCCAAATAAACTCTGATATGGTGGTGGTGGTGGTGGTGTGTGTATGTTGGGGGTGGGGGGGAATACAACCTATCAGCATGGTCTACATTGTCCAGAAGCCAGCCATTGCCCTCTGGAACTTTGGAAGAGGGCTGCTGTGGGCTCTCAGGGGACCCTGGGAAAGATGCCCTGCTGCTAACCCTTGAGGCCAAGGCTAGGGGGCAGGGAACGGTGATGGGGGGACAAGGAGAAAAGATCTCCTGACAACTGTCCCAGCACCTTATAGGCCAATGGACTAGGACAATACGTTCTCAGAAACAACTTAGAGCAGCTAAGATAGTGCTCCATGGCATAGAATCAAGGGTCTTCTTTCCTCATTTTATAGGTGAGACCCAAGTGATGGTGTGACTTAAGTTACAGGCAGGACCAAGATCAGAGTTCTGCTCATTAAAGTCTTATAGAAAGCAGAGCAGGGTAGAGCGGTGGTTAGGAGCACAGACCAGAGCTAGGCCATCTGACTCTGCTACTCACCAGCTGTGTGATCTTGGCAAGTTAGTTCTCTGTGCCCCAGTTTCTCAAATATAAGATGTGACCAGAGATAGCACCTCCTTTAGAGGGCTGTTTCAAGGATTGGGTTGGTTATTATTCCCAAGGCTCAGTGATCTACATAGATAGGAAGATGCACCTCCAGGATCTGAACCCAGATCTACCTGATCCTGGAGACCAACCTTCTCCTGCTTCTTACCCTCACCATCCTGCCTTCCTCAGCCCACACATGGAAGTCTTCTCTGTTGTCATTTCTGGGAGGGCTCCCTTGGTCAATCTTGTGTGCACTAGAAGCTTGAAAAGCTTCTCTTCTCACACATAGGGAAACGGAGGTACAGACATCACAATGACATGTCACCTTCAGGAAGGGGAATTGAGTAGTGAAGACTGCATTCGATGTCTTTTGAGTCAGGTTCTTGATTTGAAAGTAACTGGTGTGCTCATAAGCTGCTCAGATGACCCTTTCAGGCCTGGATATCTGCTCGACCCTAGGGCTCTATGTCAAAGATGCTAAATTGAATCCAATTGCTCCCTTCTCTGATGCACCTGTTAGCCATTGTGCAAAGGCAGCCCCTAGTGGAAGGAGCAGGAGAACAGGGATGGACAGCACCAGGAAAAGCATCCTGGCATTCAGGTGGTGAGAGAAAGGGTCTGTCTGAGGCTCCAAACCCATCCTGGGAGGCCTCCCATAAGCCAGCAAGTCCCTGGATGCTGACTTGCTAAATCCCTAACCACCTTCCCCTGGGTCAGGCTGTCGCCTTCCTGCCCATCAGGGATGTATAAATAGATCTTAGCTGCACCTATTTTTTCCCCCCAAAGTTGCTGATGGACTTAGCTGTTCCTAATCCCGTGTCAGGTCAGGGTGGTGTCCCTGTCTCTGTGATGATGGGTTAGAGGCCCAGAGCTGGGATGGAAAGCTGGGGAGTAGAGAAGAAGCTGCTGAGTCAGAAATGTGCGTAGGGCGTGGCCATCTGCCAGGCCTTGGCTGAGGTTTCTGAGCCTGGGAGGACGTGGTGTAGAAGATAGCAGGTTTAAAACTCAGTTTAGAGCATCGGGCACATGGGAGGCAGTGAGGATAGCTATAATCACAGATTCCGGCTCTGCCACTTACCAGCTGGCTGATCATCGGCAAGTTAACCTCTTTGAGCTTCCATTTTGTCATCTGCAAAATGGGGAAGAACACGTCCCTCTCAAGAGGATCTTTAAAAAGATACTAATTCCTCAGTCATACAGCAGAGCAAGGGCTGGAATGAGGACGGTGTGGGGTGGGGGTGAGAGCCTGGCGTCCTGGCTGAAGTGCTTGGGTTCAGAGCCTGGTTCTGCCAGTTTCTGGCTGCTCAGTGGTGGGGGTGGGGTGTGCTTAACCTCTCTGATCCTCAGTTTCCACACCTGTAAAATAGACATAGTCGCAGTTAAATGCTTCAAGCAATTGTTATGAGGATTTAAATGGTTTAATACTTGCAAAGCTCTTAGAACAGAGCTTGGCACATAGTACAAAAGACTCCGCTAAATACTCAGCTGACGTTCTTGTTCATTCTTATAAATGCATGCAACTTCACCTGTTAAAATTCATTTTAAGTATCTGGTAAACAAATCTTTCTCGAAACTGTCCTCGCTCCCTTGTTTTAAGGATGGCACTGTCAACATCTTTTCTTTCATGTGGCACTAAATACACAACATCCCCTGACCTTTTTGTCAGGCCTCTGGATCCCTTCTAATCGAAAAGTCAACAGCAGCCCCTGTCCACACTCTCCTGTTTGTAGCACGGAACTCAGCCAGGGTTTCCTGAGTGTGTAGAAATCAAACACTTGTCCAATGCACTCCATGATCTGAGGACACTTCATTCATTTGTTTGTTTATTCATTCATTAAACATTAATGGGGCCCCCAGCAGGTCCCAGGCACTGTGTTAGGCATCGGTGGCATAGGATGAATAGCTAAAGTCTCTGCCCTCAGGGAGCTCTCAAATCGAGAGACAAGAAGACCAAAAAGTAAGAAAACAGATCATTAATGTAGACTTTTATAAGTTAAATCAGAAGGAGAAGCCATGGGTCTCATGGGAACACAAAAGAGGGACTTTAACCTAGGTTGCAGGGTTGGGAGCAGTCTCCTGGAGGAGGCGACATCTCTTTTTTTTTTAATTTTATTATTAGTTTCAAGTATACAGTACAGTACATTGGTTAGACATTTATATAGTTTATAAATTGATCCCCCTAATTGCGCTTTCTCTCCTCTGGCTCTCCATCGAACATTCCCTGTGCCATGCCCCCCATCCCTGTGACCATCTATCAACTATTACTTTGTACTTCTCTAACCCTGTGGTGATACCTCTTAAAGGGCACCCTGCCCTGGCACCTGTTGAGCACATCCGGATGCTGCTGGCCAGCTGCTGCTCTGGCATCACTAAAGGGGGGCTGACCCAGTCTCATCCTGCCTTCCTCACTTCCTGGCTGTTCCTCAGTTTTTCCTCCTTGCACGCTTCCTCCCACCACCGGGCCTTTCATATACCATCCCCTCTACCTGCAATATTCTTCCATCCTCACCTTGGTTCCCAGTAAATGACTTTTTTCTTTTAGATCTTGGCTCAAATGGAACTTCTTCCAGGAAGTTCTTCCCCTGACCTCCCTGACTAGGTCAAATCCCCATTAGAGATGCTCGTAGAACTTAGTACCCCTATTTTGTAGCCCCGACATACACACTATGTGACTGTTTCATCCTCGCCTCTCCTACAGGTCAAACACAGAATGAACGAATAAATGAATGAGTAAATAATCAAGGAATAAGACAGGACAATGTGTATGTCAGTCCTTAGAGACTATGGAAATTATTGCCTCCTTTTAAATTCATTTATAATAATCACTTATTTATAATAATTATCACTTATATATAATAAACATTGCAAAGGAGTTCATTTGTTCATTCATTTATTCTCTCATTCATTCACAAATATTAATTAAGCATCTGCTTTAGGTCAGGCATAGTTCTTAGCACTGGGACAAGTTAGACACGTGTTCTACCCTCTGGATCTTACATTTTGGTGGAGAGGACAGAATAAAGAGACAAATGCACAAGGAAAGAAATCACACTTTGGGAAGTGGCCAGTTGTCACAACCCCACAGCCACAGTCTTTCACAGCTTTTTCTGTCTTCTAGGACAACACAATGAGAAAGATGACATGGACTCAGAATAGGAAACCTCCCTGGGAAAGTCCAGCCAGTGAGCCAGGCTCAAGCCACCTTGAACTGGCTCCCTAGTGCAGGCTGGCCAGGGAGTCTCTGTTGTTGGCACCAGTGCCCTGGAGCAGCAGGCTGGCTGGGCCAGGAGATGACAGAACATCTGAGTCCCTAGCTAGTGGTGGATAAGGACATGGCTGCTCTCTGGTGCCAGGTATCCTTCTCAGCTGGCCAGAGAGCTGCTGTCGGCTGCTGACCTCTATGGCCTGACATCTCCCTGCCTCAGCAGCCAGGAGTAGGAGAAGAGGGCGGAACCAGCCAGTCCCTTGTGACAGAAAACCCTGAAGCCCTTGAAAGCTGAGGAGATGGGCTGAGGTCAGCGCTTGCCTCTGTTCCCTCATCGGGCGTGAACTTTAGGCTTCAGATCTTTGCTGCCCTGAAAGAGGGACTCCTTATAGTGAGTAGATCCAGGGGTGACAGATTCAGGGGTGACAGAATCAGGGTGGGGATTGCTCTAGGGAGAATGAGTATGGTGGTAGACCGTGGTGGAAGCAGCCTCCTCCTCAGGCTCAGAGCTGATGGAATGATGTGCAGTTCTCTGCCCTTTACAGACTCACAATAACACCTGCCAATTCTCTCCTCGTTCATTCGATAAATGCTTATTGAGCTCCTACTATGAGCTGGACCCACACTGTGCTGGGTGCTTGAGATGTGGCAGTGAGGGAGACATGGTCTTCGGCCCCCCTCAGATCACTTGAGCACTTTGTTGTTTCAAAAACATTCGTTACGATTTCAGGTGATCCTCATTACATTCCTGAGTCCCCTGAGAGATCGCTATCATTCTCATTGATGGATGGGCAGGAGGAGGCAGAGAAGAGTTACGTACTTTGCTTAAGGATAGTTAGATAGGACCAGCAACCAGGTCATATTCAGTTCTTTGCCTACTGCCCCCCACTCCCAAGGGGAGTCAGGGAAGTGGTATTTTATATTGATTTTTAATAGTTCACCCTGACCATTAAAAAGGCATAACTTGATGAGTTAGGGAAGGCTCTACGGAACCCCTGACCTCGTTTTCATTATTCACTATTTCATTTTTAGCACCTTCCTCCTGCATACAGCCAAGGCCCTTGCCAGGCAAGGGGATGCATCAGAGACCTATTTAAAGTTCTCGCTTTCAGCACTCACATCACACCCTGGTGCCCATCTTGACCTGCCCTCTTAGAAGGTCTCACTGGCTGGACACAGACCCAGCTTGATTTGAAGTTGAAAGGCCTCCCAGGTGACACATAAACTTCTTAAGGGTCAGTGACACAGCTTATGCTTCTGTGCCTCTTCCAAGCACCAAAGAACACCCTGTTTCCCATGTAAGCATTCAGAAAACCCTAATTGATTAGTTGATTGGAAACAACAAATATATAGTCAAAGTGCCTGGAAATATAATCTCCCAAAGGCTGCCAGCCAGCCGGGGGCTCAAGGGACAGGTGCTTTCAGATCAATGTGCTTGCTCATCCCCAAGGCGAAGTTTAAAGTGAGTGACTGAGCATTATTTTAGAACAGTGCAAAATTGGAAACATGCAAATAGAGGAATAGCTTAGCTAACTGGTTATATTAAGATTTTGGAAGATTATGGTTTTTAGAAATGACAATACAATGCAATACAATACAATGCAATATAATACAGAGAGATGTATACCAGTTACCAAAGTGAGAAAAGCATAATATGAAAATAATGTAGAAATATACATAATACACTTACAAAGCTGAGAAGAAAACTTGACAATTTAGTAGGCTCTCTTTCTTTTCTTTTTTTAAATTCATGAAGCAAAGGGAATGGTTGTATAACAAGGTCATGTCCACCACACTGTGTGATATGATGGGAAGAGTCCCTGGGCCAGGTGAGCAGATGACCCAGGGATCCTGGTGCTGCCAATTATGGACCATTTACTCTTGAACAGCCCACTATCCTGATCTTTAGTTATCTGTCAAGTGAGAATATTAATACTTACCCTGACTATCTCACAAGTAAGGATGTAAAGCCATTTAAAGTCTTTATTTACCCCATTAGTATGATATGCATAAGTTTCCATGTAGAAATAATGTGTTTGACTCTGGGGTGCTGACTTACACCTGGCTCAGAAGTTAGAAATATATAGTCTATAAATGTTACTATTTTTCTTAAATCCAAAAAGTCTTACAAAATCCCATGGGTTTGGGGTAAGGAATCATGGACCTGTACTAAGCATATTAGACATATTATTTTATTTTACTTAACCTTCATAATAATCCTATAGAGTAGATTTTATCATTCCCATTTTACAGATGAAAAAATTTGTGTATATACAGATTGAGTAATTTGCCTTCCTATTAATAGTAAGTGGCCTGACTGCAGAAATCCTTGTTGGAGTGGCATCTGCTTTTAACTTGTGAGACTTACAAATGAGAATATTTCTCCTAATATCTGACATTGATTGCATGCTAAGCACTCGACAACTCTGGGAGGGATGGACTTTTTATAAGCCCCATTTTCAGATGAGAAAACTGAGGCTTAGACAGGTTATGTAACATACTTGAGTGAATCAGGGACCCGGGATTCAAACTCAGGTCTAATGACTCCAAAGCCCAGGATTTGGATCTTTTGTTGGGCAATCAGGAAGTTCCCAGGGGAACGTGGAGTATAGAGGGTCACATTCTGGAAAGACTGAGGAAGGGTATGGCCACAAACAGAATTACGAATGTGGAGCGGTTTGCCTCCTTCCATTTCCTGGTCCTTCCCCCTCCCTTGCCCGTCCCCTCCCTGCTTCTGGACAACAAGGTCAGCTATCATCTCAAAGACATGAACTGTAAGCCAGGATTGGATGGCAGAGTCATAGGAAGAAAAAAATATGTGAATAACCAGAAAGGATTCACAGATATGTCAATCAGAAGGAGAAAAAAAATTGTTTCGTAGGCTATTCATGGCCTACACAAAGGGAGAAATGATGACTTCTTCCTGCAAAGGTGCCATCTGGTCCTGCTGGTCAGCAGGCCTGAGATCCTGAGGGAACAGATTGAGTGAAAGTCAGCAAAATAACACCTCACGTCATTCTGTTTTCATTTCTAAAGTGATCCAAGGAGGAAGTTTGCCCTTTGGTGCTGAAGAGGTCCAGACTCTTGCCTCTTCAGAGGTTCTGCCTCCTGCCATTCCCTTTGGACTCGGTTCAG